AACTGGACTGTGTGGAAGGGGACTCAACAGAGGTGGGATTCTACCAGGTCGCACCTATTCGCTAGAACCGGTTGTTAAAAGAAGAAATTACTGGCCTAGTCCTGTAAGGAAGGCAGGAAGGAAACATTCTGGTGTTGCTTACAGAAACTGCCTCTCCGTTAACCCTTTTTACATTCTTGGCAGGACTAGAGTTCCTGTCTCAGGAACTTCTCTGAAGTTTTTTCCCCCTCCTTTGCTGGTACTTTGCTTGTGTGGAGTGACCATTCAAAGTTACAATGGCACTGATAAAAGTGACTTATGACCATTTTTCACACTTACGACTGCTGCAGCATCCCTACAGTCATGAGAGGCTAGGCGAGGAGATGCGTGGCTCGATGTGAGTGATATTGAGTTGGCCGTGCCCAGCCAATAACATGACAACCAAGCCATGTCCACCTGGTCACATGACCACCAAGCCACACCCACCGGCTAAGCCACGCCCACAGAACCAGTTGTTAAAAAATTTGAATCCCACCCCTGGGACTCAACATTCCTCGAAAGAAAGATAAAAGCAAGCTGAGATGGGAGAGAGAATGATGGAGGGGAAGTTAGGTGTTTCCTGAATGGAAGGAAGGGGCCAGCTTGATGTCAATGGGAACATTGTCCTGGAGGGGCTGAAACAGCAGGCAGCTCCCCCTGGCAACACCCCCCCCTCAAAAGTGGGGCATCCGTAGCAGTTGCTTTCTAGATAGTTTGGTTGTTTGAGAGAATTCTGGCTGGAGAATGTGAGATATTTTGAGACAATTATACAGTCTGGAATGAATACCTTTGAAAGACCCCACCCATTCCCCCAATGAACATATCCACACTTTGGCTCTGCTTCTAAGTTCCTGTGCTTCTTCACAAACCCCAACCTTCCCTGATAGCTGTTGGCTTCCCTATTTGATGCAGTAAGTTTACACTCCACCATCCCTGTTCTTCCTCCTCTGCCTACATCTTTCCTTTCTTTTCCTTTCCTTTTTCTTCCCCCTCTTTTTCTCTTTCATTTCCTTCTGCTCTTTCCTCTTCCTTATCTATTCACCACTCCTATTCCAACACCAGCCCTGTTCTTTTTTGTCTTCCTTCTGCTTCTTCTCATCTGTGGCCACTCCTGTGAAACTCTTGTCTGTTCCTGAGAGTCTGTTTGAGAAAACTTTTCCCTTCCCTGCCCTTCCCTTCCCAGCCCTCCGTCACCGCCCCTCCTCTCCTTTCCTTTCTCCTTTCTTCCTTTCCTTCTTTCCTCTCCTCCCATCCAATTAACCAATTTCCTTTCCTTTCCTTTCCTTCCCTTCCCTTCCCTCCCCTCCCCTCTCCTCCCCTCTCCTCCCCTCTCCTCTCCTCTCCTCTCCTCTCCTCTCCCCTCTTCTCCTTTCCTATCTCCTTTCCTTTCTCCTTTCCTTTCCTTCTTTCCTCTCTCCTCCCACCCAATTCATCAATTTCCTTTCCTTTTTAATTTCTTTCCTTCTTCCTCACTCTCTTTTCTTCCTTCCTTTTCCTTTCCTTCCTCACCCTTCCCATCTTTGACTGTTTATCAGTTATCTTGCCTTCCCACCATCCCGCTCTTCCATCCAGAAGTGAAAACAATCTGGTTGGCCTCCATCTGACCAGGAGGACCAGCTGGACTTCAGGCGCCCCCAGCAAAACCCAACATCAAACCCATTCTCACATTCGTCATGGAACTTTGCGGAATCAAAATTTATCATTATTCTATTCTCAATTTTTTTTTTGGCAGAAAGATTCCCTTAGAGTAGAGGATCAACCAAGCACACGGCCATGTTGCTTTTGTATATCCTCTCCCTGGCTGCCTCTTTTCTTCTGCAGTTCTTCAGTTCTTCGTGGAAAAAGGAAGAATTGCTAAATCAGAGATTTGTCATTGTTCTTTTTCTTTTTCAGCCAGAAAAGTTCCACTTGAAGGGCCAACTGACCAAACGCACAGCCATGTTGCTGCTGTGGATCTTCCTCTCCCTGGCTCCCTCTTTTCTCCTGCCTGCAACTGGGGAGGTGGTACAAAGTTTCAAAACCTGCAATCAGTTCTTCTTGGATGAGAAACCCCCCAAATTGCGCCCGATGAATCCGGCCAGAATCTGCCAGAGGTATAGAAACCAGTATCGGTTTGCCACAATGTACGACAAGACTTGGCACATCCCCATGTACTCGGCATATAAGTATAACCCTGGTGCAGGTGAACGATCAGAGGACTGGATGATTGAACCGCAGGTAAGAGGAGCTCCTATCCTGAAGCTAAACATTCATCAGATAGAGGCGACCTTTAAGGAACAGTCAGTGGTTAGGAAATAAGGCAAGACAGTAGATTTAAGAGTGATTTATACATAATTATTCCCAGGGTTCACCAGGAGCAAAGACTGTAAGAATTCGGTTCATCTCATTGTCCACATTGGCAAGGTCTTACTTCCATCTGATTCTTTCCCCAAAGAACCAAGTTCAGAGATCACCCTGACATTTCAAGGTCAATGGGAATTCAGAGGTGGTGTTCAGCCAGTTCTGACAGGTTCTGGAGAACCGGTAGCGGAAATTTTGAGTAGTTCGGAGAACCGGCCAATCCCACCTCTGACTGGCCCCGTCCCCTCTATTCTCTGCCTCCTGAGTCCCAGCTGATTGGCTGGGTCTTCTTTGGTTGCCCTGCACAGGAGAACGGAACTGGAAAGCAGGTTAATGGGGTGAGGAGGGAATGGAGATTTTGTAGTAACATCATTCTGCCATGCCCACCAAGCCACACCCACCAAGCCACACCACGTCCACAAGCCACGCCACACCCACCATGCCACATCCACAGAACCAGTAGTAAAAAAAACTGAATCTCACCACTGTAGTGTATTCCATATTGGAAGAAAGTTTAAGGTGGGCTTCTCAAGAAAATCAATCTGGAATTTCAATTTGCAGAATTCCCAGAAACTGCCCTGTGAGCTGGGATGCCTGGCAGATGCTGTCCAATCTGTCTCGGCGGAGTATCCCACACCCCATTCCCCATATGACTTATGACAGTTTTTTCCCCAGATTCAGGGTCTTCGACTCAGCGTTGTGGAAATGCGAATCAGAGACAATGCTTGTCTTTTCTTATTCCTAGCTTGCCCTACCTGGAGATCACAATCGAAAAAGCATGGAATTGGAATCGACCTGTGGGATTAACCAAACCCTCCTGGAAAGAAGCCAGGCTGTTGACCAGGATTACCGAGCGGCTGTGCGGCAGGACAGGGGACACTTGGCGCCATCGTCCCATCAACCAGATCAGGATAGCAAAGCTGCAACCTTCACCTTAACCAACATCGTGCCCCAGTTTAGTGCCCTCAATCAGGGACAATGGAGAGAATATGAAGAACATATAAATACAGACGGATGCCGTGAAACATATATCCTTGTGGGTGCGGTGCCTGGGAATAATACGATCAATAACAGAGTGAATGTACCCAGTCATATCTGGGCTGCGGGTTGTTGTGTGCTTCAAAAAGGCAAAAGATCCTGGGCAGTCATTGCTGAAAATAACCAGAATAAGGTAGACAATCTTACCTTGAGGGAGCTGCAAGGAGAACTTGCTAAACACTACGGGAAGAAAACAATTGATCTTTTCAATAATGCTTGTTAACTGAGCTCCCAGAGCAAATGAAAGCAAAGTACAAACCAAGCAGCTTAGTTGTTCTACATATGGGAAAAATGCAGTTAATTTTAATTCTGGTTTGAACTGTAGCTTTTTCTTTTTCCTGCTAAATGTTGTGAAATTCCAGGCTGTTTGATTAGATTATGCTTCAGATTATTATTATTATTTTTTTGAAAGCAATTTTATTGGTTTTTTTAAAAACAAACAAAACAAACAAAACATAAAAACATCAGCTCTCTTCCATACATATATACAAGCAGTGTGTCGGTTGGTCTATCAATTTTGTGCATTCATTTCGTAGTCTCAATTACAGTTACATTACATAATAACTCATATTATCAATCAAAACTTATATATCCTAGTATCACTATTAGAGAATCATTTGACTATAATTTTATTCATTCATACTTTATGAGATAACTATAATTTAAGTAGTTTATTCTATAACAAATCATATAGTCATACCAAATCTATCCTAAAAGCATTTTATAGATATGATATCAAATAACAAAAAAAAAAGAAAGAAAGAATATCTTTTTATATATTCCTTGTTATCTAACATTCTAAATATTCTATTATTGTATTTTATCATCCAACCATTGATAGAAAAGGTCCCAAATTTTATAGAATTGTTTATCCTCTTGCTCTCTGATTTCAAATGTCAATCTACTCATCTCAGCACATTCCAATATTTTCTTAATAATTTCTTCCTGCAATGGTATTTTCTCATTTTTCCAATTTTTAGCAAATACAATCCTAGCCGCTGTTAATACATTTACAATCAGATATTTCAAGTCTTTACTGTATGTATCAGGTAAGATTCCCAATAAAAAAAACTCTGGTTTCAAATCTATGTGTTTCTTTGACATTTTTTCCAACCACATGCGGATTTTAGTCCAATATTTTCTAGCGTCCTCACAAGTCCACCACATATGGTAATATGAGCCAGGTATCTGATGACATTTCCAGCATTTTTCAGATTTATTCTTGAACATTCTTGCTATTCTTGTCGGGGGGAAATGCCACCTGTAAAACATCTTGTACAAATTTTCTTTATAAGCTGTTGACATTGTCGTTTTATAATTTTGCGACCACAATTTTTGCCATTTCTCTAAATCAATCCCATATCCAAAATTCTTCCCCCAAGCAATCATAGTTTCTTTAACTTGTTCTTCCTCTAGTTTAATTCCCAGTAAATAACCATACAATTTTTTAATCACCTTTTCATCAGTACCTGTCAAAATCTTATCTAGATCAGTCAGTTTATCATAGAATCCCTCTGTTTTAGAATCTTCATCATACCTTGAATGTATTTGTGCATATGAAAACCAATTCATCTTTATACCTTGTTCCTCTAGATTTTGCATCGATTTAAGTTCACCCTTTTCATCCAATATTTCCCCATATCTAACTGTTTGTTCCTTCTTATAAATTATAGGATAGGAAAATGCTTCAATGGTCGATAACCAAACTGGAATTTTCAGATAACATTGTCTTTTGATCTTCTCCCAATTTAACCACAAAGACTCCCGTATATAATGTCTTCTAAAATAACCCTGTGTTTTAGTTCCTTTATACCATAAAAAGGCATGCCAACCCAACAGCAAGTCATGACCTTCTAGTGTCAAGAATCTGGTCTTTCTTAATGTTATCCATTCCTTGACCCACATCAAATTTGCAGCTTGGTAGTACAACTCCCAATTAGGCAGACCAAAACCTCCTCTAATTCTAGCATCTTGCAAGAGTTTTAGCTTTATTCTTGCTTTCTTACCTTGCCATATATACTTCAACACAATTTTATTTAAATCTTCAAAATAGTCTTTTCCGAGCCTAATTGGTATTGTTTGAAACAAATATAAGATTCTGGGTAAAATATTCATCTTGATTGTTGAGATTCTCCCTATTAATGACAATTGTAAATTTTCCCATTTCTTCAAATCTAAGGCTATCTGTTGTTTAAGTTTAATATAATTATTCTCTTTTAATGTGCTACGTCTTGATGTCAAGTATATCCCCAGATACTTAACCTTGTTCGTGACTTGAATTTTCAACAGGTCTGCCAGTTCTTCTCTTTGTCTTAGTAACATATTCTTTGTCAAGATCTTTGTTTTATCTTTATTTATTTTCAGACCAGCCACCTCGCCATATGTCTCTATCTTTTCCAATAGTTTTGGAGCTGTTTCTAAAGGGTCTTCCAAAATAAAGGCTAAATCATCCGCAAAGGCTTGCAATTTAAATTCTTCCTTTTTAATTTTCATTCCTTTTATGCTTTTATCATCTCTAATATTTCTATTCAACACTTCCAAGGTCAATACAAATAGCAAAGGTGATAGGGGGCATCCTTGTCTTGTGCCTTTTCTTATATTAATAAAATCTGTGAGTTCTCCCTCTATCATTACCTTTGCTGTCTGCTTATTGTATATGGCTTCTATTGCTTGAATAAATTTTCTGGCAAAACCCATCTGTTCCAATAGTAGTAACATAGATCTCCAGTTCACATTATCAAATGCCTTTTGGGCATCTAGGAATATCAAAGCCATTTGCTTTTCAGGATGTGCCTCATAATATTCCAGAGTATCCAGGATTACTCTCTTATTGTCTCTAATTTGTCTCTTTGGCAGAAATCCATTTTGGTCTGGGTGAATGAAATTATTTAGATATTTTTTAAGTCTTTCTGCTAAAATTGAAGCAAAGATTTTATAGTTTGCGTTTAATAAAGAAATAGGTCTATAGTTCTTAATTTGCAGTAGATCAGCCTCTTATTTTGGAATAGGTGTAATATAAGCCTCTGACCATGTTTTAGGTATCATCTTTGACATAGCTTCATTCATGACTTCTAACAATGGAATGCTCAATGATTCTTGTAGTGTTTTATAGAATTCTGCCGGAAGCCCATCTGGACCTGGTGCTTTCCCATTATTTTGTTTCTTAAGTGCTTCAGTTAATTCCATCATTGTTATATTGCTTTCTAACATTTCTTCAGTCTCTTTAGATATCTTAGGTAGATTAGCATTCTGTAAATACTGTTTGACTTTTTCCTCATCAATATTCTCTTGCTTATATAGTTGCCCATAGAAGTCTCGAATAATTTCCTTTTTCTCCTTATTACCATGGCAAACTTGGCCTTGATCATCTATTAACTGCGATATTTTCCTTGATTCTTTCTCCTTTCTCAATTTATATGCTAGCCATCTACCTGGTTTATTTGCATCTTCAAAATAGTTCTGTTTAGCACTTCTAATTTTCTGTGCCAGTTCTTCTTTCTCTATTAGGCCCATTTTATGTTTAATTATGTCCAATTTCAGTTTAATATCTTTTTTCTGTGGCATTTTCTGTAATTCTTTTTCAAGTCTTTTATACTCGTCTTCCAAGACTTTAGTGGCTTGCCTTTTCCTGATATTCTTTTTTCTTATGTAGTCTATTATCAAGCCTCTGGCATATGCCTTCATTGTATCCCAAACATTCTGAATTGAAGTATCTTCCTTTTTATTTTCTCTAAAGAAAAAAGCCAGTTCTTTCTCGATCCATTGTATAAAATCTTTTTCCTTTAAGATAGTATTATTTAGCATCCATCTCGATCTTTTTTTTTTTGTCCTTTCCATTTAATTGTCATTGGATTATGGTCTGCCCAAGTACTTGTTTCAATATTTATTTCTTGAATATTAGATATTAATTCTGTTGAGATCCAAATCATATCTAATCTGGACCATGATAAATGTCTATTTGAATAAAAAGTGTATTGTTTAGTTTTAGCATTTCTTTCTCTCCATATATCTTTTAAAGTTAATTCATCTATCATTTTAAAAAAGGATTTAGGGAGAGTCTTTCTGTTTTGCTTTGTTGTTGTTGCTGTATAGTCCAGTTTATTGTCCACAATTCCATTAAAGTCTCCCATCATAATTATATTGGCATAGTCCAGTCCAGTTATTTTCATGTGTAATTTTTTATAGAATTCTTCTTGTTTATCATTTGGAGCATAAATTGCAATCAAGAGTATTTTTATATTATTGTCCATTATTTCCACCATTAATACTCTTCCATCTTCATCAGTATAAATCAATTTTGCTGGGGTAGCCTCTTTAATGTATAAAACCACTCCTCTTTTCTTACATTGAGTCAAAGAAGGGAATATTTTCCCTAATTTTGGCTGTACTAACAATTGTTCATGTTGTTTTTTAATATGTACTTCTTGTAAACAAATTATATCAAATTTTAATTTCTCTAATTTATGAAAAATTTTCCTTCTTTTAACAGATGAATTAAGTCCATTTATATTCATTGTAATCAGTTTTTTCTCTTCCATGATTATATTTTGTAATTAGGTTTGACAGCTCTCGTAGATCTTGGTTCACATTGTTCTTTGATTTCCACCTGTCCACCAACTGCGCCCTCTTCTTTTTCAGTCCCCATTTGGTCCTCTTGGAATTCAATTAGTGAGACCTCTTTTTCTGCCTCTTCCTCTCTCCTTCCAAAAAATTCTGCGTAAAAAAGTTCTGCTTTCTCAATTGAATCAATTCTGTGTCTCTGTTCTTGCCATGTAAACATTAGTCCTTCTGGAATCAGCCATCTATAATTCACCTCCTTTTTCAGTAGCATTTTAGTCAAAAATCGATATTCTCTTCTCTTCTCATCTCTCTCACTCTTCTAGGTATTTGTTTTAAAAGCACAGTCTCCTTGTCTTTGTATTTCAACGTCTTCTCTCTTGCCGCTTGTAATATTTGTGTTTTGATGGATTTTTTGGTAAATCTGATGTGGACTTCTCTTGGTAAATTATTTCTCATCGCATATCTTGTAAAGACTCGGTATACCTCGTCTACTCCATCCATCATCTTTTCCTCTGTTATTTCCAAAGCATCAGCCAGAATTTCTATCATTATCGCAGCTAAGTTTTGTCCTTTTTCTTCCTCTATGTTTTGGAATCTGAGATAGAATTCTGACCTATTCATCTCCCACTTCAGCATCCCACTTTTATCTTGTTCAACCACTGTTAATCTGCTGTCAATATTTCCAATCTTCTCCTCTCTTTGTTTACCTTCTTCTTCGATTTTTTGGAATCTCTCATCATACTTCACCATCATTTGTTGAATATTTTCAATTTTTTCATCGGTCTTCCCTGTTCTTTGTTCAATGTTCTCTATTCTTTGTTCAATAG